ATATCACAGCTCATCATTGAAGGAAGTCAGGGCAGGAACTTCAGGCAGGAACCTGGAGGCAGGAACTTAAGCAGAAGCTTTGGAGGAGTGCTGTTTACTGACTTGCTCCTGCTGGCTTGCTTAGTTTTCTTTCTCATACTATCCCAGGGTCACCTGACCAGGAGTGGTACCATTCACAATGGGCTGGGCCCTCCCTTATCAGTCACTAATTAAGAAAATGCCCCACAGACTTGCCCACTTGTCTAGTAGAGACATTTTCTGAATTGAGGTTTCCTCTTCCCAAATGACTCTAGCTTATAACATGTCGACGTAAAAACTAACCCCAATGTCAACTTGACACATAAGCACACTACTATTAAACCATAAACTTTCCTTTCTGGTTCACCCCCAAATATCTCATATTAACATCAATATCACAATATAAGATATTCAACTTTCAAAAATCTTAAAAATTCAAACTATTTAAAAGTTCATTCTCTTAAAATAGTGAAAGTTTCTCTATTCATAGTTCACCGTCACAATCAAATAAAAGCAAAACCCATATCCAACATCCCAAAGCTTGGTGTCAGATTTCCAGGACTATCAATCTTCTAGGGCTTGCCACAGTACACACAGCTTGTCTTCTAGGCTCAGGTCAGCTCTGCCCTGATTGGGTCCTTTGCAATCATCCCAAGCGCCAGCATCTCCAAAATGATGAGGTCTACACTAAAACTGGCTGCACTTTCACCAGCAGTGGCCATGATGGAATGCTTCTTGCTGTCTTACTCATCCTGGGTAGTTAAGTTTGCTTTCTTATACAGTCCCAGAAACACCTGCCCAGGGATGGGCCCTCCCACATCAATCACTAACGAAGAATATACTCCCAAAGGCCATACTGGTGAATGTATTTTCTCAACTGAGGTTCCTTCTTTCCAGTTGACTTTTGCCTATGTCAAGTCCACATAAAAACTAGTCAGCACATCATCTTTATTTCTTATAGACTTTTTAATTGATTATTTTTGTGTAGTGTATTTTAGTTGTATTCTTGCCCCTCCTACAGCTCCTCCTGGATCTCCCCAGTCTACCACATGTCATAATCTTTTTCTCTTAAAAAGCAAAACAAAACAAAAAGCACAGAAAAGGTTTGGGGGGGGTGGGGAAGCACACACACAAAGAACCAAACAAACAAACCACAGCATGTAGTCTGCTTTTTGTTGTTCAACTACTTCTAAGCTTGAAGCCTGCCCTGGGGTGTGGTTGCTACACCCATTATCCCTGATTTTCTCTCACACAGAACTTACCAATGGCACATAGATTCTTGGTTACTGATGGGGCCTTTGCACCCACTTTCCACTCTCTGTGCTTGGATTTGGTGTGGTTTGAACCTGTGTGGGTCTCGTTCATGCTGTTGCAGTTTCTGAGACTTAATATGCCCATCCATCTTGTTGTGTCTGGAAAATGCTGTTTCCTTGGAGTCATCTGGCTCTTACAATCTTTCTGCCTCCTCTTTCAGCATAGATCCCTGGGCCTGGAGGGGAGGGCTTTGTTTTTATTTTTTGGCACAGGATTTAACTCTGTCACCTAGGCTGACTTGGAACTTGCTATGTGTCCCATGCTCGCTTTAACCTCATGGCAATCCTCCTGCCTCAGGCCCCCAAGTGCTAAGATTATAGGTGTGAGTCACTACACCTTGCTGAAGGTGGCATGTTTGGTGATTACCTTCTCTGTCTTCCCTTATATGTAATCGCCCCTGCAACTCTGTGAAGTGAGCAATATTAGTTCCATCTTCTTGAAGAATCTGAAGCTCAGAAAGAGTTTTCTGCCCTCAACAATGCTTTGTAGAGACTTTGAACCAGCCCATCTAGCTCTACATTTATGCTTGCCTGTTTGTTTGTTTTTAGGAAATGAAGAAAGCAAAGAATAAAGAAGTGGTACCCCAGATTTTCACAGAAGCTCCTCTGTGAAACTGTCAGTGTTCAAAGGTAAGCCAGCATGTGCTTTCGTGAAACTCTGAGGGAGGAATCTAACTTCTTCCCTTAGCTTCTGCTAGCAGACACTGCCTGGGCGTGGAAAGCGGGCCTTCCTTCTGTCTGCTCCGTGGTGTTTAACGGCACTGGAGCAAGGAGCAGGAGGGAGGAGAGAGGTGGATATGTCCCAGGTGTGCTTGTGCCCACAGAATCCAGAGACGGCATCTGATCTTCTGCTGGAGTTGCAGGTGGCTGTGGGTACCTGACATGGGTGCTGTGTTGTATCCCATCTTTGTGACATCAGTCTGATTAACCTGAGTTTGTGCCTGGGAGAGGGACTGTGGATTGAGAAAGGTCAGGTAAAAACACTAAGAAAAAGACAGAGACACAGGATAGAGTCAGGAGGGCAATCCAGCGAATACTGGACACCCCAAGTTTGTTTTTCAACATTCTTAAGTATCCCAACCAAAGGGGGAACATGGCAAAAAGACCTCTTTATCATGTACAAGAAACAGAATGACTTTCTTAATTCTCCAAGCATTTGGTAACCACACCTTACACTCAACTTCTCATTGTCTGAGTTGAAGTCAAGAATAACCACACCTCAGACCAAGTCTGTTGTTATTTAGATAAGACATCCATGACCAAGATCAAACATCCTACAGTAGCCATGTCTTAGACACCATTAGGTCTTAATGACTTTAACCTTGGAAGAGTAAGGACAGTTTTTAAACTCTCAGACCTTAAGTCAAGATGAAGCTGAACCATCCCTGTGAGCCCTGACAGTACTCAGGGCAATCTCTTAGATGCTAGTCCATCTCTCTAGGCCCCTACTTGTTGTTATTGTTTTAACAATTTAGTGTCATAATACATATTATGGGCATAGGATTTCAGTTGGGTAGCACTTGACTCCAGTCCTGCCTTCCCTGAAAAATTTAGCTTTTTGTGTGAAAATAAATTCCTATCTTACACCATTCAATTCAATTCCAGATGGATAGTGAATCCAAATGTCAGAGGAAAACATAAAGATATTAGAAGATGGTAGCATGTGACTGGAATCTGTACCTGGGGAAGAGGGGACTGCAGGCCTCAGGGATGGGCGGGGTTTTCAGTGAGAATCCAAGGTTCCTATAGCTTTGGGCTAGGGATAGAACTTTCTTTTGTATGTGTGTACATATATGTGTGTGGGTATATGTTCCTGTGTGTGCCTGCGGGGGAGGTCAAAGGTTGGCCTCAAGCATCTTCCTCCATTACTGTCTTCCTTATATATGGAGGTAGAATCTCTCTGGGACCTAGAGCTTACCAATTAAGCTAGACTAGCCATCGAGTTCAGGAAGGCCTGTTTCTGCCTCCTCATGTTGGGATTACACTTGGGTCACCTCATCTACCCCCTAGCCACATGGGTGATGGTCATCTGAACGCCAGTTCTCAGCTTCAGGGAAGGTGATTTTTACCTGCTGAGGCATCTCCCCAACTCTAGAAACAGATTTTTTAATCAAGATGCAAAAGTTGTTAATTGTCAAAGAAACTCTACATGATTTGACTATTACAACTAGGATTTTCTTCTTTAAAGTAAACAGACACATAAACTACAAACTTTGGGAATGTTTCAAATAAATATAGCTAATAAAACATTAGCTATAAAAATACACATAAGGTATGGGTGCTGGAGAGGTGGCTCAGCAATTAAGAGCATTTGCTGTTCCTGCAGAGGACCAAGTGTCAATTCCCAGAACCTACATGATGGCTAACAACCATCTATATCTCAAGTTTCAGGTGATCCAAATGGGCCCTTGGGCATCAAGAATACATGTGGTGCACATACATCCATGTAAAACATGCATACACATACAATAAAATAAATCTAAAAACTTTAAAAACCTCTTATTCATATAAAGCAAAAATTGTGTGCGTGCTCACAAAAAAAAAAGCCACTCACCTTGTTAGAAAGTGGACAAAACCCAGAAAGAAGCATTCAAGGAGAAAGAGACACATAGGATTAATAAATGTAAAACATTCACTTTGCCAGCTATTATAAAGATCTCTTTTCCTCATGCAATGCTGGTGTATATCTACGGATGGACAAGTCCTAGAGATCTGACAATAGCAAATGTTGGGAATTAAAATTAAACACCTCATCTTAACACACAGTTTCCTCCTTTACCTTTATAAACCAACATCTGCGTATGTGCTATGTCTGTCTCCCCTCTTTCCAGAGGTAATCCGTTGTCCCTCCAGGACAAATGTCCCTGCCCCCCTTCCCTTGTCCCTTCCCCCTTGCCCCCACCCCTGTCTCCTTTACCATCTCAACCTAGCCCATTCTAACACAGACCTCCCCTTTCTCTCCTCTTGAAAACGACACCTGCAAAGTCCGTCACCTGCCTAAGTCAGAAAGCAGCCACTTGAGCTTTTCTGCCCTGCTTAGTAAAGGAACTCTCTGTGAAAACAGGTGTTTGGGTGAGGTTTGTGCTTAGTCCGGCATCTGTAATGGAGCCCCTGGCAGTGTGGGAGACCCCTTCTGAGTGCACCATATACTGATACAAAAATAATCACAACTGAACTTTCCAAAATAGAAAAAAAAACCCTCATGGATACACAGAGAAATAGAAGTATACTTACCAAAAAGAATATTCTACAGTCTGAAAACAAAAAGCTGCAGCTCAACTCCTTTACAGGGATGAATCTAAACAGCATCAAATTGAGTGAAAGAAAGCATGTTCCAGAAGACTTCATACAGCATTTTTCATAAAATTTAAAAATGATGCAAAAATTAAAATTAAGTAAAGCTAAATAATTTAGGCAAACATGGGCTGTGTGAGATAGAAGCCTGTTCAGTGCAATAATCAGGGACGTGGTTATCTCTGGGCATAAGATGATATCATTTGAAGAAAAACACACAGAGGGTTGTGAGGTACCTGTCATATTCTGGTTTGGGTTTGGACAATGGGATAGAAGCGATACACTATTCGGTATAGGTACATGTGTAAAATAATGTAAAACATGGTGTATTAATTTTTACACCTCTGTAACAAAATACCTGACAATGGCAACTTATCAAAGGAAAAGATTTACTTTATTCCAAAATGTGAGGGTACAGTCCACCATGGCAGGACAGGGATGGTGCCAGGAGCATGAAGTCACTGGCCACATTGTATCCGCAGCAGGAAGCAGCGAGGGCTGAGGGCTTGTGTTCTTCTTTTTGTGCAGTCCAGGGCTCTGGCCTGTGGAAGGATGTGGAAGGAGGCTGTCATCATTTAGGATTGGTCTTCCCACTTCCATTAATCTAGAGACTTTCATGGGTATGCCCAATGGTTTGTCATCTAAATGATTTACTCCTATCAAGTCAGGTTAATATTAATGCTCACAGATAGTCTTTGATGGATCAGTGGGGACAATGTGATTAAGTTCTGTGGCCCTAAGATCCAATTTAGTCAATTAATAAGTGAGAAACCTGGCTCCCCACATGCTAATTTCTCTGAGCTGTGGTTGGCTGTTCAGTGTGTCTTCAGTTTTCTTGCTATGGAGAAATGAAAAACATGGGTTAGTATAAAAGTTAACTAAGTAATAAATGAAATTAAACTACTGAATGAAACACTGTAATATATGACTTGTGCAGGGTAAAATGTGAATTACAATAGCTTTATAGAGCTATAACTCAAATCCCATACGACTCATTTGAAGTGAATAATTCACTATTTTGTAGTATACTCAAAGAGTTATGCAACTATTATTATTGGAATAAATTTTAGAATATTTTCATCACTCCAACACTCCTGCTCCCATTGCCAGCCATTTGTATTCCCTTCCCCCATCAGTACAATTACTTTCCGTCTCTGGACATGTAATGTAAGTGGAATCCCACGATATCTTTAGCCTTTTCAAACGGTAAATTCTTACAGTGCAGCCGTGTGAGTCTTCACTGCTGCTAATGTTCTACAGCTTAGCAGCCCACGTTAACATTGGCAGTGACGGCTTCGGGGAGATAGATAGGAGACATTCTTAAATGGGTTAGCTAACTAAGGAAACAGGTCCTAGACTGGGTCAGGCTGATTTCAGCTTACTTTTATTTTTACCCAAGCATGCTTAGTTCAAAAGAAATGCTCTTTTATTCCAGCCAGTGTGCTTTTCCTCCATGGGAATTTCAGATTACCTGCCCTGTCTCACCCAACCAAGTCCCTGTGGTCACTTAAAAAGACCACATGGCCACGTGCACCTTCTTACACATTGCAAGCTGGTGTGCCATCCAAGACAGGCTCCTCAAAGCGTCTCCCCTGCCTCTGAGAAGTGGATGTGGCATCAGGGATTCTCATGCCCATGGTCAGGAGACTTCACTGGAGACACAGGAGAGGGATCGTGCCAGGTGCAATCCGAGAAAGAGAAGAGAGACCTAACCCTGCCTTACTCACTACAGAGTATAGAAGCTCAGACAGTACTCTAGCTCCAGATTCTGTTCCGCACTCCGAGGGCTCCTGCAGAGAAGACCAGTAAAGAACCAATTGTAAAAGCCAGCATGGAGGTTCCCCAAATAAGAACTAAATGCAAGCGCCACATGACCCATCTGTAGTACTCCCAGGGGGATAGATAACAACAGGGTTCTTAAGTCAGAATCCCACAGGTATCTTCACATCCACGTTTACCAATACAATGTTCACAGTGGCTCAGATAGGAGACCATTCTAGATGTCCAGAGGGAGGAAGCCGACCAGCAAGAGGTAGGTCGTGGATAAAGATGAGCTAAGTACAGTGATATAAATGTGTGAAATCTTTATAATGAAACGGGTTGTTTTATGCTCAGACTAAAAGCATTTCAAAACAGGAAGAAAATACAAAGTAACAAGCTAAACAGCAGCAATGAACAGGATGGGTGTCCAGGTCTGTTTGATTCTGAGCCCGGCATCTTGGTCATTACCCAATAATGCCTCCACTTGTAAGAAAATGCTATCCCCCCCTCCCCAAAATAATCCATTTTAGAGTGAGGATGATAATTATCTTAATTTCATACAGTATCTTTTTTTGTTATTCCGAGAAGGCTAATTTTCAGTTTCCTTTAGAATCAAGTTGGGTTAAAGGCTTGAAGTATTCTTTGGCTGACTAAAGTTGTTCAATATTGAATCACTTATTTCTAAAAAACACTTACCTGTGGGGAGAGTAGCAATTAGCACTTCAGAGAATACGTGCCAGCGAATGAGTAGCAGACTGTTGACTTAAGAGTTAGCAAAACATACAGAACTTGCTAAGTCTCTAATTATTGGTGTTCGGCAAAGGACAAACCTGCCGGCTCTAACTGCTGGGGGGGGGGGGGGGGGGAGAAATGAGACTGCTCCTTCACAGTCACTGGGCCAGGCCCACTCCAGCATCTAGCTGTACCCACCGCACACTGGAAACAGATGGCAGATGGCAAAGAAACGGTTTGACATAGTTTAACACACTCATGCAAACCCACCATGTCGTCTGTTTGCCCTGTGGAGATTGCAGAATGTCTAAATTGGTGGGATCCGTGTCTTACAAAACAGAGAAATGATTTCTCCTTGGCTGTGCATTTATTCGGAGGATGGGCTATTGCTCTGGGAGATGCATATGTTCCCACAGAGAGACAGACATGACTGGCCCTTTCTTTCTTAGTTAGCCCCAAGGGAGCTTACTGGGGCCTGATTAAGCAAAGAAAGCATCACACGTTCTTCGACAGCTCAGAAATCCCTGGGGTTGAGTTGAATTTTAGGTGAAGGGTTCACGTCAGTGCCAAACTGGTTTGTGCTATCTCATCACTGTCCATACTTGACAAAACCAGCTTTTGTAGGCTGCTCACAGTGACAGCCAGGGAATAAGCACATCTGAGACCCGGAGGAAGAAACACCTGGTGGCACTCCCTGCAAGAACAGGGCTTATTTCTTATTAAATAGCTTCCTGACCTAGTTCCAGAAGCAGGCACTTCAAAAGGAGCCCAACTTCCAAGTTCACATCTTTGTCCTTGTCCCCTGGCTGCCTTCTCATCGCCAGCCTCAGGAGCCTGAGCTCCTAGGATTCCCCCATCCATCTCCTAAGTAGTTAGCCAAAGCGGGACACCGAGTCCAGTGGTATCTTTGTTTCAAGGCTGCACATTTATTCCAAAGGAATTGCACAGGTTCTCAGTCTGCTCTGAATGAAGTGCAGGGTGGAGGAGAGGCCGTAGCTCTTACTTAATGAGGAAACAGTGCCCTCCCACCTGAGGAAAAAAAATAGTAGGTTTGGTGTGTGAGTGGGGAGTCCTCTTATAGAGTCTGACAGTAGGAAAAAAAAAGTTCCCGGCACTGATTCACGTCCATGGGACACTGTGTTGCTTCAGTTTATTCTTACCTGAAGCAGGATGGGCTGGTGATTGTACGGGAGCTTAAAGCACTGAAGATGGACACTTCAGAAGAGCTGTACGGCATCTGCTGCCACCCAGATTGCTTCTAGAACACACTTGTTTGGCTGGTTGGTTGGTTACCTGTTTTGTTGTTGGTGGCGTTTTTTTTGTTTGTTTGTTTGTTTGTTTGGTTTTTCTGAGCTTTCTGGAACTCCCTTTGTAGCTTGTAGATCAGGTTTGCCTCCAAGTCACAGAGATCCACCCGCCTCTGCCTCCCGAGTGGGTGCACCACCAGCGCCTGGCAAGAATATCATGGAACTTTCAAGACTTTTTCTACAAATTATTAAATGAATGCTTGCAATCTGATATGGATGAATGGCTTGTATTGCCAGCAACCTGCTTCCAACTGCAGATACCACTGCTAACAAGGGGAGTCCCTCTTGTCCCATCCCTTGGCACATAAGCCCATTATTATCACCAACAACAACTTTTCTGTCACCACTAGCTCTGTTCATTGTTCTAATTGCTATCACAGGTTGCTTTCTGGCATGTCATTCACATTCATGTCTAAATTGAATTCCACACTAACCTCAATAACCCTTCGAAGCTAGGGGCTACCACTCTCGTTTTATGTACAAGGGCACTAAAACCAGCAGAAGCAACCCACTCAAAGCCTGGAAATAGCAAAGTAGGAGTTTTGATGTACACTCACTGTCTTTTTTATAATCCTCCTACAATGTCAAGGGGAATGTGATGTCTACTCACATGAAAGGATCTAAAGGGAAACAAAACATGCATTTTCCGGGAAAACGCCAGACTCACCCTGAGCCAAGCATCCCCATTTTGATGATGTCTCTTGTTGTACCGAGGCTGTCCATTACTACTCTGGTCAGTTAGAGCTCACCTGGAGTTTGTAACCTGTGACCACAAGCTTGATTAGATTCTCAGTCATGATATGCGTCTGGTATGGAAATGTTATTTTCTCTGTAGCAGAATCCATTCTTCCACCATAGGCTGAGCCATACTTGGAAGAGTGCTAGTCATTACTGGAACATTCATGGAAACTCAATAACTTGGAATTAGTCTCCAGAAATGTAAAGATCGTAAATACTTCCTGATGCTACATTCTTACTGATTTATTATTGTAAAATCTTAGGAACTGGATTGTGCTCACCATGGAAATGATGTCACTTCAGCATCTATTTATTACAAGTTCACCTTATGGTCCATGAATCAGGCTTTATTGATGATTTATATAGTCAAACGTCTTCTAGAAAAGAGCTGTCAAGACCATGCTAGATGGGCCCATGATATGAACCCTTGATCTTTCATGTACTGAAGGAACTGGTGGTCTGCAGCAGATAATGAAAAGTGAACACATCTCTTACACTTATACACTGAGCCATCTCATTTCCCCGCCATCTGTGAGTGACATGACAGTCCATTGTGCTCCTAGAGGGGCATGGTCTTCACTTGCTGACCACTGTCTCCTCAGCAGCAGCCCAGTTCCCCTGACCTCTAAGTGCTGAAGATCGTTCAGTCTCCACCTTTGGAATGGTGGTGTTCTCTGGGCAGCACCGTCTACTCTTTCCTGTTTAAAGGCACCTACACACCAACAGCTTCCTCTCCAGGTCTGAACCCAGAGTGCCAGCCTGGCTTTCTTGCTGCCCACCCTAGACTTCACTTGTCCAAATCACAATTTGTGATCTTTCTTTACCCCATCTTCCATATCTCAGCTAACTCAGGCCCTCTATTCATCAGTTTGTCCTATAGTGTCATAGGAAGTCCTGTTGGCTCTAATTTCAAAGATTTCAAAATTATTTAAATATTATTTTTATTTATTTTTTAAAGATGCTGTACATGCATACAATGTATTTTTGTCATCCCCTACGACCTCCTTCAAGGTCTCCCAAGGAACCTCAAATATACCATCCTTCCAACTTCATATCCTTAAAAAAGAAATCCACTAAGTCCAATTAACACCACCCATATGCCCCATATGCACAGTTTTGTTGAGCACTTCACTGTAACATAGGCTGAGCAGCCACAGCCTCAAAGAAAAGTGATTCCCTGTAGAAGCCATCACCTGCCATCCCTCTTCTCTTGGAGCAGAGCCTCAGGGTTTCCTCCTGGACCTCAGCCCTGCTGGGTTGTTGGCTGGCTTTCTCCTCTGCAGGTCTTATTCTAAGTAACCACAACTGCTATGAGTTCATGTGCACCATAACCCATTTGTGTTCAGAAGATTTCACAGTCATCTCCTCTATCCTCTGATTCTTCCATTTTCTCTACTCCCTTGTAAAATGTGCCCAGATATGTAGCTTCAGTAGTGTAGTGGTTATCACATTTGCCTTACACAGGTATGCTCCCAGAATCTCCACACACATGTCATTGTGTAAATACCCAGTAATTTACACATGTTAAAAATAAATACATGTGATAGTACAATAAAATATATAAAAGATGTTCACAGAATCTTGAGTTGGGGAAGAAATATGCTATGCATACTTCTTTGGGAGAAAAGATTCTCACATAGGATTGCCTCCTGAATGCTAAAATACTCACCTATCAGGTAGGGTATGCCTGCTGATGCAACTCTGGCAAGATGGTTATGGAAGCAACCAACGTTTTCTGATTGGATTTTAAGCCTGGTCCACAGAAGGGAGTTCATGCCTGGGACTATAAACCTGTCAAAAGCCCATGTCTGGAAGTTGGGACCCATCCCATACCGTTGTTTGATAAATGGTCATGTTGTCAGAAGGCTTTCTAAATATTTATGCTTATATGCATATATTTTTGCTACTTTCTATCTTGGCCAATGAAGTTTCTTTGATATTTGGGTAGTGATTAATACAGAGATTAATAAATGTTCAAAGAGCTGAGACTAAGTGACTGTGTGTGCTTAGTCATATATCGGTCATGACTATTTACAAATTTGACAACTCCTCTTTATTTCCAAGCTCCTACCCTAGTCCAAGGAATCATGTTCTTCAGTCTGATGACTGACTGACTGATGGACTGACGACTGACTGACTGACTGACTAAAGGAAATTGTCTCCTCATCAACCTCTTGCCTCCACCCTTAAGCCTTCCAGTCTATTCTTCATGCAGCAACAACAGTAATGACATGGAAACTGGAGTTTAGTTGTGTCATTCCTCTGTTTGAAAATATTCAGTGGCTTCCCAGTGAATGGCAAAGTTCTTACAGGGGCCCACAAGGCCCTGTGTGATCTTGACTTTATTACTTCCAAGATTTTTTTTCTTACTTGTTCACCTTCAACTCCAGTCGTCTCCTTGATTTTCCTAAATACATCAAATCCATTTCTACAAGAAGAGCTTAAACGTCCAGGTGACTTACTCCCTAATTTTGTTCTGATCTCTGCTTAGAGGTTGCTTTCGGGTCTTCCTTGACCCAAACTCTACCCTTTCACTCTCTGCTCTCTCACTGGACTTACTCTGTCATTGCATGTATCACCATGTAACATCATACACATGTATGTATGTGTTCTGTCTGCCCAACTTTACTAAGTCTCTATGGAGGCTGTGGATTTTGTGTTGTTTTGTTTACCAACTTCAAGAATTGGGCATATTGTGAGTAGATATTTCATTAATATTTATTGAGCAAAGACCTCATTTCCTAAAATAGGTCGTCTTCCTTGTCATCTTCACTGGATTTAGAACCACCAAGGAAACACCTTTCTTGGAGTGTCTATAATGGAAGAGTGGCTATGAATGTGGATGGCACCATTCTATAGGGGTCCTGAAATTTCTTAAAGAATGAGAAATTAAGATAAACAATAACCTTCATCTCTCTCTGCTCCCTGATGGTGAATGTGATGTGACCAACTGCTTCACAGTCCACTGCCATAACTCTCCCTCTGTGACAGACTGTGTCCTCAAACTGAACCAAAACAAACCCTTCCTTTCATAAGTGTTTTTTGCCACAGTAATGAGAAAAGTAACTAATAAAGAGATGATTCTTCAAGAAGAGATAAGACCTAACTACTCATATAAAGAGGGAAGATTGTTTTTCCCTTAAATTTTTTTACTTATTCTTTGAGAGCATCATACATTTATAATATTCTTTCCTGTATCCTAACTCTTCCCAGATCCTTCTCCAATCATATCTACCTAACTTTATGATCTTTCTCTCTCATTAAGAGAGAGAGGGGGAGAGAGAAAAGAAAAAGAAACAGAAAAAAGACACTAAAAGTCAAGGAGTCCATTTTGTGTTGACCATCTATCCTCTCTTGGACATGAGGCCTGCACTGGAATGTGGTTGACAGACCCAGTGTCACTCCATTAAAGAAAACTGATTGTCCCTTTCTTGGAAGCTGTAATTTGCAAATGGCAAATTATTGGCAATGGGTGGGACTTGTGACCACATCCCCTCATCATGCTGGGGTTTTTGACTGGTTTGAGTTTGTACAAGTCTTTTACAGTCTGAGTCCCTGTGTGTATCTTCCCTGTTATGTCTAAAAATACTGCTTCTTTAAAACAGTACACAACCTCTGATTCTCACAAGATTTCTGCCCTCCTTCAGCATAGATCCCTGAGTCTTGAGAAGAAAGGTGTAATAAAATCATCTCATTCAGGACTGAACACTCCCAAGTCTCTCACTTGCCAGGCAGTAGTGGCACACACCCTTAATTCCAACACTTGAGAGGCAGAAGCAAGTGGATCTCTGTGAATTTGAGGTCAGACTGGTCTACAGAGCAAGTTCTAGGACAGCCAAGGCTACACAGAGAGATCCTGTCTCAAGAAACAAACAACAACAAAAATTACTCTGAATGTTTTTCAGTTGTGGGTCTCTGTGTTAATTACCATCTACTTCAAGAAGAAGCTTCTTTGCTGAGAGTTGAGTGATCCACTGATCCATAGGTATAGAAATATGTCATTATAAGTTGTCTTATTAATATTTTCATTTAACAGAATAATAGTAGTAAGTTTTCCCCTGGGCCCACAACTTATCTAGTCTTACTTAGGTTCATAGGCTCATTAATAGGATCAGGTATGGGTTCCATTTCATGGAGTCAACCTTGAATCCCTTTTTTTAAAAAGTAGTTGGGTACTCCCCTAGCATTCATGCCACTATTTCAGCAGTGTGCAGATCTTGTAGGCAGATAGTTATTACAGCTTGCAGGGTTTGTAGTTGGGTAAGATTGATTCTGACCATAGGAAATAGTAACTCAAAGTCATAGATGCCTAAGAGAACATTGCAGATTCAGAAACGTATGAGAAGCCCTGATAGTTCAGAGTGTCCTCTGTATCCATTTCCATGACCATTTGAGTATCTTTTGCGTAATGGAACCCTTCACCTCTAGAGATACCAGATTTTTTTTCTTGACTTGTTTTAGGGCAGTGGTTCTCAACATGTGGGTCTCTACCCCTTTGGGAGTCATATCATGCATATTAGATATTTACATTATGATTCATAATAGTTGCAAAATTACAGTTATGAAGTAGCAACAAAATAATGTAATGCTTTGGGGGGAAAGTCACCTTAATATAAGGAACTGTATTAAAGGGATGAAACAGTAGTAAGGCTGAGAACCACTACTTTAGGGAAAAAAACCTTGGAGACTAAGAAGGCTAATGTTAGCTCCTTCCCTTTATCTCAAGAGCTAAAACACCAGGGTGAGGGACAGAGAAAAAGTAGAGAGTACTGAAGAAGGATGAAGGAGGGGCTCCAGATTAATCCTGCAGGGCTAATCACACCGGAAAGGCAGGGCTAGGAAAGCCATGTTTGGCAGGTAACGGGCTTCTATCTCTGTGACTCAACAGCCTGCAGCTCAGTATCCTAGCAGAGTCCCCAAGGCCTGATGAGTGAGGTTGTAAAAAGCTCACTGAAGCACATTGCAAAACAATTCACCATCCCAGCCAGCTGCTTTGAAACCAGGCTCAGAACTAATCCAAAAAAGAGAGTGTCTTGATCCAAGTTCACAATGCATGTGAACAAGTCACCAGCATCTGCCAGGAGCCCTACCTCTATGTAAACTGGAAAACCACCACAATTCCGTTGGGTGCAGCTTATTAGTAAAGGGCCACTGGCTTCCAAAGACATGCAACCTCCACCGTGAAACTGCTTCGTGCTTTTCTTAGTTTTATTCACTGAAGCGTTTCACAGTGCATTCCCAGGGTGGAATATTTACCCCATTGGGTATATGAAGCTCAGAGACGCCAAGTCTTTATTGCAGCCACCCAGCAAGTCACTTCCTGAGACCCAGATCTTCCAGCCCTATTATGGCTATTGGATAGTACCTTCTCGTGACTCTGAGGAGAGCAAGGCCCATATGACAAATTTACATGGAAACTGTAGCAGGCAAAGATGAGCAGGCTTGGTGGGGGAGCACTTGGAATCTGCAAGAGGTATATTGGTGCTTTGGCTTCTCTCTTTGAAAACAGAGGGTAGTGCTATTTGGATTAGAAGTTGAGTGATCAACGTAGATTGTATGCACATATGAAGTTTTGTTTTTTAAATTTATTTATTTGTATTTTATGTGCATTGCTGTTTTGCCTGCATGTATGTCTCTATAAGGGTGACAGATGCCCCTGGAACACAAGTTACAGATGGTTGTGAGTCACCAGTGGATGCTGGGAATTGAACCCAGGTCCTCTGGAAGAGCAGCCGGTATAAAAACCACTGGATTTCCCCCCTTTTAAGACAAGTAAGTAGAGATCTAGAAAGAAAAACTGAGCTCCTAAGTTAAGCAGTTAGTTCATAACAAAAGCAGGATGGATCTCTTATTTCTTAGGAACTGAGAACTGACCCCCCATTCTCCCGAATGCCAGTCAATCCCTGCCTTGCCACCATCTTGAAGCAGAGTTATCACCCCTCCTCTCAGAGTTCCTGCCCTTAGCCCTGACACAGCCTCTAGATGCCATGGTGAAAGGGTGGGCATGGCCCCATGCAGACCTGTCACTGAAGACTTACATCAGAATCTTTTGCTCACTCGATCTGGGAGCCAAAATTAACAGTCATAGAAAGGAATGCTGGAAAAACCAAGTGATTCTTCAAGAGGCATTTGCTGGGAGCAAGGAGTCTGACTGCACGGTCACAGGCAGGCCTACTTGGGGCAAGTGTCTGAGGGAAACATGTTGGGAACTGTGTTCTCAAGCTTTTGGCCTTCTATCCTATTGAGTGATGGTCATGGCTCTCGGCAGAGGAGATGCTGCCAACAGGAGGCTCTCCCAGCACTCACCCACCAGGTGTTCTTCCCATCAGCCACATCGCCTGGGCAGGGAGTGACTCAGTCAGGGCACTGGGATGGGCAAGGAGGTGCAGCTCTCTTCCCTGCGGTCCAGGTGTCAACAGATGGGCTATGGATCTGCCCCTCCCTTAACAAATAAATAGAACTTTTAAAGCTGAGTAATCCCACATGGGATAAGTCAGACTACTGGCTACGTCAAGTTATTGAGCTAGGGTCAGACTTATTTGGTCCTGTGATAGATTCTGTCATAACTTTTGTGAGCGATATTTCCCATATTCTAGCATCTCACCATGCAGATGAGAGGTTGGTCCCCCTACCCACTGGTGTTTCAGGGAACTATGTGTTTCTGAAGTCTTCCTTTGGCAAATATCCCATCTCCAGGTCCTACAGCATTTAAGCTTGTGGTTCCATGCAGGTGCAGCAAAGTGCAGTTGATCCCTCCTATTTAGCCCCAGGAAGGATCAAAAGTGCTGTTGAGATACCTTCATGAAGGACAATCCTTGCTTCCCTGATGGAAAATGCATCCTTCCAGGACCTTCTCATCTCCTCCTAAGTTCCTCCTGACCTCAGTCTAATGTAAAGAGAAATAAACTTCTTTCTCTTATCTGCCTTCAGTATAAGATCTCTGATAAAATGGTCCAGACAAGTAAGTGTAAACAGTGGGCTGATCAGGGCCAGGTAGACCAGTTGTCTTCTACAGCTGCCTATGGCAGAGTGTACAAAGCCAGCCTAAGAGAAGTATCAGACAGGAAGCAAAGACACTAAGCTTTGAGATGCTTGTTATATGTCATATAACCTTTCCAAAGCTCAGTTTCTCCATCCATAAAGTGGGGCTGACAATACCTTTTCTGCTTGGCCTGTCGTTAAAAGTTAGCATAAACAAAGGCTTTCGCAGGCTCATGGGTACTGTTCAGAAAGAAGTGGATTCTTTGCTCTGGTGAGCAATCCTAGTGTTCAGACAACTGGGCTGACTCAAGCATGCCCGCCCATTGCTATCTGGTAAAATGAGTTCACATACCTAACAATAAGCAATGTTGGAGGAAGAAAGAGACAGAGTCCCTATGAGGAGACTCACTTGTCCCAGTTCATAATGGTGGTTGCCTGATCCAGGAGGAAGTAACTCTAACTGGAACAGCACAAATTCTCAGTTCAGGCATGCCCTGGTTGATAAGATCCTTCTGGGCCACTCAGCCTGTATAGACTGAACACCGGCTGAGAAGCCGAGAAGCCAAGGAGCTGACAATCCACCTCCTGTCTGGCTACACCTTGATGTTCTTGTAGGAGGGCTGAGGTCTTTGACTTAACACAAGGGCTGTTTTGCTGCACAAGGTCAATAAGGGGTCAACCGTCAACTCCTAAGCTAGAGAAATTCTCCTCTGATTTGAGTCTCCAGGTGTTTTATCCACCACACAATGAATTGGCACTTTTCGCTGAGCAATGACTCCTGGGCCCTTTAGAGCTTGCATTAAGCTCTCTGACTTAATGACTCTCCCTTCTAATGGAAGCAAAAGCCATTTAAGTGGTCACAGCTGCCAGGAACTTAGCTAAAAGAGTGAAACTTTCTGAGCAGGTCGGGCAGTAGCTGCACTAATCTTTGCCCCGCCACCCGCCCCCGCGTGAGTCTGAGGCTTGTTTTGACAGCACTGGAGCTGGGTCTCATGAGAATAGCAGCAAGTACCTTTCCCTTTCCACGCTTGCGCTGCTCCAGCCCATCGCTTGCCGCAGGGGCAAGGAAGAAACAATCAAGCATTGTCTTGTTCTGGACTGGTGTGTCAGAGCCTC